TTTTTTTTTTTTTCCTGTGGTGCTTGGGATTAAACCCAGGACCTCATGCATGCTTGTCAAGCACTCTACTATTGAGCCACATTGCCAGCCCACATCCTTTTTGGTGTGAATCACTTTATTGAAACACTTTCCTCTGTGACCTGGATTAAAAGACAGGCAGTGAGAAATGAATGGAGATGAGATAGAGAGGGATGAGGAGCCTTGGTGAAGTGTCTCAAGAGTAAACAGTTCTGCTAGTCCTGGAGAAAAATAAGCAGATTTTAGCCTCCTCAGAGGCCAAAATGAACCAAAATATTAAGATCAAACTATTTCCACTGTATTTCAATCTATTTTTCAACATTTCTTGTGAACCCCCCCACAAATCGTTAATATGATAAAGTTGCTTTCATTAATAGTAAGAAAATGTTTGAGGACTTCCAAAATAACATTTTGCCCATGATCCCACTTGAAATATTTTTTAAACCATAAATTTACCTGGAAATAGTTCTCAAGTTCCTTTGAAAGCAACTGACAGAAAAAGCTTTTTTCAGTGGCTTCAATTAAGCGATCATGAAACACCCGGGTGGCTTCATGAACAAAGAGTAGAGCAAGCATTTCTTTGGAATTAATAATAGTCTTGTCAGCTTGTAGTATTCCTAGGAGAAGCTATTAGAGATTCAAAAATAAAATTTTATAAAGACATTAGTGGGATAGTATTTGAAGACTCTGATTTTGCATGTTTATATTTCATAAAAATAGCAATTATCCAGGGTAAAAATTATCAGTTTCTACAATCAATAATCTGAATCTCTAATGAGACAAACATGTTATTAAGTCAAGGACAATAGGCACAGAATTGCCCTGAGTGGGAGGAGATTTAGGGAATCCTCAGCTACAACTAAGAGAAGGCTTGCTGGGATGAGCAACCACAAGTCTTAATTATGGTGCCAGCATGGAGGTGCTGGAGATGGGAGAAAAATGCTTTTAAATGTTGATGGGTTCAGCATTCTAAATGTAAGGGCCATAATGTGGTAGTTATGGATGAAGTCCCATAGTAAGGGGAGAAAGCAAATTCAAGAATTGTTTTTTTTTTCAAACATTGCAATTTTGAAAATTATTTAACCAAGGTAGATGACTAAATCAGCTTTGTTGCCAAAATCTGTGAAAATTTAAACATGTTTATGATATGCATATGTTTTGGGTAGTCACAATGAAATCTCAGAAATGAAGCAAGACCAAAATTTACATTGTAATCTTTTCTTTTCCTGCTGAGAATCTCAGGCAATATTCTAACAGTTTCAGTGGTCTCATTATTGAACTCTCTTCTTGGGATTATTAGAAAAATTATTTTCAACTTATTCATTGGATGAACTGCTAATATATAGAAAAAMCAAACAACATGAATTTTGCTTTTATTGACAATACCAACAAGAAAGGAGAGAGCAGGGGAGGGGGAGAGATTCAGTTTAGTAAAATTATATCTCCTCAACTTAAAATTTAAAAATAAGCTGTAGAACTAATATTAAAACACACCTTAAACACGTCTCGAAGATTAAACATGTAGTGGCATTTTGTTGGAGTCGGTAACATACACTTACACACTTGGTAGTACATAGTGAGGGAACAAGATATTATCTGATCCTTATATTTCTGAACATCAGGTGAGAAGTTATTGATGAAGAAATACATTGCCAAATGAGCCTTTAAAAAGAAGTTTTATAATTTAGTTTTCCAAATATTTTAAGTATAGACTATTTCTGGCTAAACTCTACTAAGAAGCCTATTCAGTGGAAGATTAATTTCTTTAGAAATGTTAAAAATTCTCAGTTGGTCCTAGTTTGGTGCTTGGTCTAGAAGCATGTCGAATGTGTCCTCTGGAGACAATTTGTGCTCCACCTCTGTGTAYATCAGGTGTGCTGACAATTATTCCATTTCCTTGTGCCCCAGTAGATGCTACTAAAGGAAATGTAACATGATAGAACTATTATGTTAGTTTGGATTGGTATACATGTATGCTTTCTTCTGGGAATTCTGAAATATCTTACTGGAAAAATGGCTGAACTTGAAATCTAGTTTGATAGGAAAATAAATTTTATGCAAGATTATTACATTCTTTAAAATTCATCTTGCATTTTTCTTTACAATATAAAATTTAAAGATAAAWTTTTACATCAATTTTTCAAAAAGTCCCTGGTAATACTGCTGCAGGGATCAATAGCCCATAAATGGGGTAAAGGTTCTTGTAAACAAGAAAGTATACATGTACGCCAATCCAGACTGACATAATAGATCTTTTGATGTTTTTTTGTTCTACAATAAAATGAGGGACTGGGGTGTTTCAGTGGTGGAACTCATGCTTAGTATGCACAAGATCCTAGGTTCAATTCCTAGCACACATATGTGTGTGCATGTGTGTGTGTGTGTGTGTGTGTGTGTGTGTGTAGGTGTGTGCATGCATACACAAAGAGCAAAATTCTATCCTGTATATACTGGATCAGCATCTCAGAGAATAAAGTCCTGTGATCTCTGGGTTTCTTATACACACTGAATTATATTTTTGATATTTACAGACATATTATAACAATAGACTAGAAAATAGAGGGGGAAATAAAATCTATTCAAAGTGGTTTTAAGTTCTCACAAATGTTTCTTACACCATGAAATTAATATTTTTCATTAGAAAATGAACTGGATRTGTTACCTGGAAAATAGTCCGCAGGGCACTCTGTGGAGGATGAGGCAATACCAGGATGGAAAAGTGCTTGAGGAGACGTGGGCTAATGTTGTTTTTACCGATTGGAGGAACACAGGCTGCAACTATAGCATGATCTTCRATATTCTGAAAGAGTGAAAGAAGAATAGTAACTAAATGCATCTGTAGGAAGTGAAATAAATACTTTCCTGTCCCAAATGAACAAAAGATTTTAAAAATATTTGGGTGAAAATATTAAGACTACTATATACTGCAAAACAAAAATTGCAATAGAAATTTATGTTCTTAGAAGTTACCTATTCTAAAGTGTAATTTCATGACGTTACTTCTTGCAGGCTTTCTAAAGTCATCAGGAATATCTCTCCCCTCCCTGTAAAGCAACTACTAGAAATTATGAAACTCCTAAAAAAAATCAGGGCAATGTTTTATGCATAACATTATCTTGGGCAAGGATTTTGGGGTTAAGACTTCAAAACCCCAAGCAACAAAAGCAAAATAAACAAATGAATTTGAAGCAAATGGAAAAGTTTCTGCACAGAAAAACAATTAGTCAGTGGAATTAAGAAACAACCTATAGAATGGGAGAAAATATTTACAAACTATGTCTCTGACAAGGGATTAATATCCAGGATATATAAGGAACATCTCAGTGGCAAAAATTCCCAAATAATCCAAGTTAAGAAGTGGACAAGAAGTTCAACAAACGAAAATACACCACACATCACTGATCACCAGGGATATGCAAATGAAAGCCATAGTGCAACATCATTTTACTCTGGTTAGAATGCATATTACAAAAAAAAGATAAGAAAAAGCAAGTGTTGGTAAGGTTGTRGAGAAAGGAGTACTCTCAAATGCTATTGTGAGGCTGTAAATTAATGCAGATATCATGGAAAGCAGTATGAAAGTTCCTTAAATATTAGACCCAGTTATCCCACTCCTCATCATATACCCAAAGGATTTAAAATTAGCATACTATGGTGACACAGCCACATCAATGTTTATAGTAGTACGATTTACAATAGCTAAGCTATGGAACCAGGCTATATGTCCAACAGATGAATGGCCAAAGAAATTGTGGTATATATACACAATGGAATATTACTCAGCCACAAAGAATGACTTTATGACTTTTGCCAGTAAATAGATGGATCTAGATAATATCATGCTAAGTGAAATAAGCCAATCTCCTAAACCAAAGGTCGAATGTTTTTGCTGACATGTGGCAGCTAAACCATAATTAAACGGGTGGGGAGAGGAKAGAAATTCAGTAGATTAGACAAAAGAGGACAAAAGGAAAAAGGGGGGATTCGAATAGGAAAGATGGTAGAATAAATTTAGCATAATTTTCCTATATACTCATAAGAAAATATCTAAGTGAACCACACCATTGTGCCTGCCCATAAGAATAGGGTCCTAAGTAAAACAAGATATAGTACATGCTTTTATAATTTTATCAAAATTGATTCTACTGGAATATATAACTAAGAAGAACCAACAAAAAAAATTAAAATAGGGGCTGGGATTGTGGCTCAGTGGTAGAGTGCTTGCCTAGCATGTGTGAGGCCCTGGGTTTGATCCTCAGCACCACATAAAATTAAATAARTAAATAAAATAAAGATATTGTGTCCAACTACAATAAAACATAACTAAAAAATAAATATTTAAAAAAACTAAAAATAGAATTATTATAAGTGTAAGCAATCCCACCATTGAGTATATATATTCAAAAGAAATTAAATCAGTATGTCAAAAGTGTATCTGTGCTCCTGTGTTCATCATAGCACTATTCAAAATAGCAACAATATAACTCAAGTGCCCATCCATGGATAAATGGGTGAAGAAAATATGGTGTATATACACAATGAGATAGTATTCAGTCTTAAAAAAAGGAAATCTTGTTATTTGTTACAAATGGATGAAACTGGATAACATTATGCTATGTTAAATAATCCTAGCACAGAAAGACAAATACTGCTGCATGATCTTACTCATTTGTGGCATCTAAAAAAGGTGATCTCACAGAAGACTGTGGAGAGTGGCAGGGAGCAGGAAATGAGAGGAGAATGGATAGCAGGTAAAAAGTTATAGAAAGTAGGAATAAGTTCTGATGCTCTGTTATACAGGTCACTATAGTTAACAATAATATAATGTATATTTTGAAATTTATAGAAGAGAGAATTTTGAATGTTTTTACCACAAATGATAAATGTTTGAGGTGATGGATGTAATTATTACACATTGTATAAAYGTATTAAAACAACCCACTGTGACCCATAAATATATGCAATTATTACATGTGAATTAAAAATGATAAACAATCATTAGAAAATAGCAGTGTGTTTTTGAGATTAGCAAAGAGGATTTTGGTGATAAGTGAGAAATCAGAAGATCCAGTTGAGTTGTGTCTTCAGCACGATCAGATTGACTTGGAGTGAAAAGATGCTTAGCTGTTAACATAATAACGGCCATTTGACATGTTCTTACAATATCACAGCACTGTAAAGCTGGGTGAAATGATGAAAAGAATCTAAGTAGAGTCTCTGAAACACATGGACCTATTCTAAATTGCAAAGATGTAACTGACATTATTAATTTACACTCTTAGCCTCATTTTAACATGTCCATATGGCTAGACTGTCTAGATTTCTCAATTTACTTCACACTGCTACAAATGTTTAATTTATTGTTAAATAACAATATTTAATGTGAACAAAATCTTAGMATATACTTTACCTTCCATACATTTCTTTTAGTATCATAAACCCCTCCCATGTCTAACAATTGTCTGATCAGTTCCAGTGGTGGCTGTGCTTCATACATATCAGATCCTGGAGTATTCATGTCATCAATAAATATTATAATCTTAAGGAAAACAAAATGTTTTAAAGCATATCAACTTGTAGTATCTTTGTTTAAAGTAAGAATTAGAAATATTAATTATGCTATGGAATAAGAACAAAATTATATATAATATCATGTCTATTTTTCTATTAAAATAGAATACCAAGTTCTATTTTTGAAGATAAGATCTTAGAAAACAGTAAGTTTTCAAGACTTTTTAAAATTTTATGCAATTATACATAGATATGTAGAGATATATTTACATATATTGTCAAGATTTCTTTAGTTCTTTGTTAATGTTTTTCCATGTAGCTAGCAAYTTTTAGACTTCATAGCAATAATTATACTTCATAAAGTAATTGAGATGTTGTACTCAATTTCAATATACAAGATCATATTATACAGGTGAAATTATTAAACTTGAAAAAAAAAAGAAAACAGTAAGTTTTCAGAGTAATGAAAAATCTGCTCACCCTCTATGGACTTCTAATAATTATGTCTGATGATWGAAATATATTTGATGCTAATAATCTAATTGTGTAATTGTACAAAGGAACAGGCCTATTACTTATTGAGTGCATTTACTTATTATTGGCAAGGCACTATCATAGATGTCTAGCTATTTATTTCATATGTACTCTCATTTGGGAAATAAGCCTATCACCTGGAACTAGACTTTTAAAATTCTCCTACAAATGCTGTTGTCAAGAACAACCAGCAGAATATTCAGACACAATTCCAACTTTTAAGCTTGTGTTACTTTCCATCTTTGAAAATATTGTGTGCTGAAATATACTGATTATAATCTCTGCGCATTAGGCCCTTTAGATTAACTAGTTAATTGTCTTTTTTGCAAGACAAGTAACTAGTTAAAAAATACAAATAGCTCTTTACTTTGAATTACCTAATTACCTAATTTGTAACGGTCAATATAATTTTTAGTAAGACACCCAGTTTCCCTTCTTTTGTATCACAAACTAAAATTTTCTTGCTTGCTGGTGGTGCAATTAGGTACTATTATCTAATCTAACCGGGCTATTATTAACCTTTTCAAAATCTCTAAAGTTTACCTATGAAGGCAAAGATCTACCAAGATTATCTAAATCATCAGTTAAAAACCAGGAAATCTGAAGCAAACCCTTAAAAGCTCTTGAAATTGATATCGTAGGAATTACCCCTTTGCTTATTTTATGGTATTGAATTGGAGTCAATGTAAATGTCTATTGTGACAGAGAATTTGGTTGAATAAATGGGCAGTTATAATTTGGATATGGAATATCCCCCCAAAGCTCATTGGTCCCTAATGAAGCAATTTCAGTAGTGGGGCTTTTCAGAAGTAATTGGATCATGAGGGCTTTAACATCATCAGTGGATTCATCTATTAATAAATTCATAATCTGAATGGATACTGGGAGGTGGTGGAACTTAATTGGAGGGAGCAGGTCTTTGGGGGCATGTCCTRTTGGACTCTATCTTGTCCTGGCCTCTTCTGCTGTCTCTGCTTCCCAGAGGTAAACAGCTTTCCTCTGCTCTACCCCTCTGCTCAGAAGGACTATGGACTAAAACCTCTGAAACTAAAACCTCTGAAATCATGTACTAAAACCTCTGWAACTAGGAGCCAAAATCAATCTTTCCTTCTAAGTTGTTTTCCCAGATTTAAATTTTTTTTTTTAATCCCAGTGATAAAAAGCTAACATACTTATCCAGGTAGACAGAGGGTAAGAAAAAGAAATACCCAACACCATTTTAAGAAACAGACAGGTGAGCTCTGTGGTGCATGTCTATAATCCCAGATACTCAGGAGGTTGAGGCAGAAGGATCACAAGTTCAAGGCCAGCCTGGGCAACTTAGTAAGATACTATCTCACAATAAAAAAATAAAAAAGGTTGTGGATGTAGCTCAGTGACAGAGCACTTGCCTTGCATGTGTGAAGCCCTGGGTTTGATCCTCAGGAAAGAAAGAAAGAAAGAAAGGAAGGAAGGAAGGAAGGAAGAAGAAAGAGGGAGTTGTTACAAGGCTCTTCTCTTGTTACCACAAGGTTAGCATCTAACCCATTTTCCAGTATTCTTATCTTTATTCAGATTTCAGTAGTTTCTTTTGGCCTTAGTAATTCTCAATCAGTATAATTCTCCATGTTGTAAAATTGAATTATATTGATTTGAAAACCGGAGTTTCCATTATAAAGTGCATATTCTAGGAAAGTTCAGGAGCATGTTGTATAACAATATTTTTACTAGTATTAATTAAAATAAATTAATTTATCATTTGAATAGCATAGCCAGATTATTTAACAGGGAGGGAGGGAAGTATTTTACCCTGCTGTTTTTAGGTGCTCCAAGAGTGTCTTTATTTTTTCTCACTAACTTTTTAAGAATCATCTCTTTCATTTTGGCAACTGTCATATTGGTGCTAAAATTTATTGCAGAAACTATAATTCCTTTATGACTTTCATCAGTTTTATCATACAGCTTCTTAGTAGTATTATCTATGATGCCAAAAAAAGAAAGACAAATTGAGAACACTTTAAGAATATTTTTGTTTTAGGCWGTTCAAACATTTGAAAATTATATAATTTTACTATTTTGTTGTCTTTTCCAAAAAACTATTCTGAGAGGAGGAACACCAATTTAGGAATGTTTCCTTACTTTTTCACAGTAAACAGTGTCTCTCTGCAACCATAGTCAAATGTAACTTTATGAAAGCTCAGAGACCCTCTTCTCACTTATGCATGTTAGTAGACAGAACTTCTTAAGATCTAAAAGCAGCATGCAGCTAGATCTAGCAAATATATAAAAATTTGCACACATTCCCTGAGGGAGGATCATCCAGAGGGTAATTTGGGATAGTACTATAGCAGCTTAAGAACAAAATGTCTTCTGGCAGGACCTGATGACATGGCTCCCTTTCATTTTCCATAGCTACCTCAGGAGAGCCCCATCTTTTCTTCTTGAGAAGTGGAGTTGTTGCTCCATAAATTAGTAAATCAGAATTTTCAAAGATGAGGCTTCTGAAATTCCATGTATGTTTGTATCACATGGCCTGATTTGAGAACTTATAGAATCATAATTTTCTATTGCACTATGTTTAAAACCATGAAAGTGTGTTCAGTTAATTCTAGATTTCATYTGAGTTCATTGACAAAGGAGGTAAATCTTCTCTACTGTCTCTCCTCTATCTTTTGAAGAGATTAGAACAATTTGAGAGAGTACTGGGTATTTTTTGAGGACTTTTTAATATTAAATTATCAATTTGAATTTTTCCTTCTGAGACTTCTAAAAGAAATGACTTACATACAGTTGAGATAGAGAACTTTTGAAACTGTATTAATACATACCATGTTTTCTACTTGATATCTTATGGGTTTCAGTAAACAAGACGCTGATGTTCTGCTTTAGGCTATTGAATCAAATGTTTTAAAGGTTCAAAATTAGTTTATTTACAATTATATTTATATTAACAAAAAATGAAATAACAACATGTGGCTGATTTTAGTTGTATCCTCCATAAGAAAACAGTCCCCTTATCCTCCATCCCCATTCATATTTTTACAGATAAAATTAGTATTCATGTTGAAACTGAAACTCAAACTTAACATGGACTTACTTAAAAATGAACTGGGCAAATTCTTAGGATGCCAAGTTATTGGTGTTTTCTAAAGGTAGTAAGCCATTACCTCCCTTCTGTCTTTATAAAATGTTTGCCTTATGGATCATACAGTAAAAGACTTGTCTTTATTTTCATCTTGTATTTAGGTGTTTGATTTTTTATATGTTTGACAAAATAGTATGTCTTAATAAAGATCCAATTCACTATTAAGCGTACCTATTTATTTTTTTAGACTCTTATTATTCGTGATATTTAGATCAGGAATGATTTCTATTGTATTAAATGCTTAAAAAAGTTATCTCTCTAAATTTTAAAGGCCTTCTTGAAGTGCAGTAAGAGTTTATTCTAAAATAATTAGCAGTGTAAGATGTAGATGATGGTGGCTTGGAAASGGGAGAATTAGAGCAATTTGTGACATGTGTAAAGACAGAAGATTYGAATAATAGGAGACCGAATGTGGGTAGTGAGAATGGAGATACAATGATTGTAATTGATCAGAAGGAACTTTAAAGATGGATAGGAAGAAACTCAAGGATGATTCCTAGGTGTTAAGCTTGAGTACCTAGTCTTTTCTGTTAAAGTAAAGAACAGTGGAGGAATATAGGTTTGGAAGAGAAATTAAGAGTTAWGTTTTGGATTTGTGAAGGTTGAGATGTTTGTGGGATATCCAAGTATGTACATGACATAGACAGCTGGCTATCTGACTTTCATGATTAGAGGAAAGGTYTTATGAACCTCTCCAAGATTTTGTCTTCTTATTCAATTCAAAAGCAATAGGCTTCTTTAATATTTTAACAGAACCAGAATTAACTTTAGAAATTTGCACTTTTTATTTGTATAATTCAGAGTTCCTTTTTCTTCTCCTTTTAGGAAGAGGCAGACAGAATACAGAGTGACAGAGATAAAACTTTTCTTTACAAAAGTCTTTTTGTATTTGTTAAGTAGCTCATATATTTCTAGTACAACAAAACAAATGTTATACAAAACTTTATTTGCATCTATTAGGCACATTTTTTTCTAGGAGAAAAATTATTATTGCTATCTTTTATGCTATATAAAAATTGAGATTTTAGATTTATTTATATTTAAAGTATGTGTAAGAATTCCTTATTTAAAGGAATGAAACTAGTTGTTCATAATTTGAAGATTTTTCCTTTAAGTAGAAAATCTCAGTAGACCAATAATAAGCAAGGAGATTGAATCAGTAATAAGACTCCCATCAAAGAAAAGCCCAGACTTGGATATTTCAACATTGAATTCTACCAATTATTTAAGGAGGAACTAATATAWATCCTTCTCAATCTCTACCAGAAAAGTCAAGAAGGAGGAATATTTTTAAACTCATTTTATAAGGCTAGCATTAACTTGATCCCAAGGCCAGAACATGATACTATAAGAAAATTAGAGGTACTAACTCTGATGAACACATATGCAAAATCTTAATAAAACTAAATTCAACAGCACATTATAAAGACCATTCAACATGATCAAGTGGATTTATTCCTGGGAATGCAAGGATGGTTTGACACACAAAAATTAACAGATGAAGGACAAAATTATATTACGGATGCAGAAAAAAACTCAAAACATTTCACAAAGTTCAATACTTTTTCATGATAAAAACTCCAGAGAATTAGGCATAGAAGGAGTGTATGTCAACACAATAAAGTCCACATGTGAAAAGCCCCCAATTAACATCAGTCTGAGTAGTGAAAAGCAGAAAGATGAGGATACCCATTCTTATCACTTCTTTCCAATATGGTACTGAAAGTCTCAGAGAAATTAATCAAGATAAAATAAAGGCATCCAAATAGGAAAGGAAGAAGTAAAACTRTTTCTATTTGCTGATGACATACATTTTATGTAGAAAACCCTGAAAATCCACCATAAAACTGTTGGAATTGGTAAGTGAATTCAGTAAAGTTACAGGATACATAATCAAGACACAAAAATCATATTTCTATATTTCTATACATTAGCAGCAAACCATCTGAAAAAGATAAATAATCCAATATATAATGTCATTAAGATAATTAGGAGTAATTATTCAACTAGAAGATGCAAAATCTATATACTGAAAACTTAAAAAAATTTTCCTGATGAGGAAAATTGAAGAAAATACAAATAAATGGAAACATATTTTGTATTCATGGATTACAAGAATTAACATTGTTGGGCTGGGGTTGTAGCTCAGTAGTAGAGCACTTGCCTAGCATGTGTGAGGTCCTTGGTTCAATTCTCAATACTGCATATAAGTAAATAATTGACAACTAAAAAATATTTAAAAAATTAAAATTGTTAAAATGTCCACATTATCTAAAGTAATCTACAAATTCCAATGTCATGTTTCATTTTTCCTATGGAATTGCAAAAGACTCCAAATAGTCAAAGCAGTCTTGAGCAGAAAGAAAAAAGCTGGAGGCATCACACCATCTAATTTCAAAATACGCTATAAATGCATAGTGATCAAGCCAACATAATAGTAACATAAACACATACACAATGAGAAATGGAGCAAAGAGCCCATAAATAAGCTCAGACACTTATGGTAAATTGATTTTTGATAAAGATGCTAGAGACACATAATGGGGAGATGAGAGTCTCTTCAATAAATGGTATCATGAAAACTAGATATTCATATKCAGAAGTATAAAGTTGGACCATTATTCACAACTTATACAAAAATCAACTCAAAATGAACTAAAGACCTAAATGTCACATCTGAAACTATTAAAGTACTAGAAAAAAAAACTATAAAGAGTATTGGTCGGGGCAAAGATTTTTTATATAATCCCCAAAGCATAGCAACAAAAGCAATAGAAAAATGGGAATGCATCAAATTAAAATGCTTTTAGGGCTCAGGTGGGTTATGGCTCAGTGGTAGAGTGCTTTCTTAGCATGTGTGAAGCACTGGGTTTGATCCTCAGGACCATATAAAAACAAATAAAATAAAGGTACTGTGTCCATCTACAACTAAAAAAAATAATTAAAAAACATTAAAATGTCACYATGATTCCAAAACCAGACAAAGACACCTAAAAGAAAKAAAACTTCAGACCAATATCTCTAATGAATATAGATGCAAAAATCCTCAATAAAATTATGGAAAATTGGATACAAAAACATATCAAAAAGATCGTGCACCATGGTCAAGTGGGATTCATCCCCAGGATGTAAGGTTGGTTCAACATACAGAAATCAATAAATGCAATTCATCACATCAATGGACTTAAAGATAAGAACCATATGATCATCTCGATAGATGCAGAAAAAGCATCTGACAAAATACATCACCCCTATATCTTCAAAACACTAGAAAAACTAGGGATAACAGGAACTTACCTCAACATTGTGAAAGCTCTCTATGCTAAGCCTCAGGCCAGCATCATTCTAAATGGAGAAAAACTGAAGGCATTCCCTTTTGAATCTGGAACAAGACAGGGATGCCCTCTCTCACCACTTCTATTCAACATAGTTCTTGAAATACTGGCCAGAGCAATTAGACAAACAAAAGAAATTAAAGGAATAACTATAGGAAAAGAAGAACTTAAACTAGCACTATTTGCTAATGATAYAATTCTATACTAGAAGACCCAAAAAACTCTACCAAGAAACTTCTAGAACTAGTAAATAAATTCAGCAAAGTGGCAGGATATAAAATCAACACCTATAAATCAAAGGCATTTCTGTATACCAATGACAAATCCTCTGAAAAGGAAATGAGGAAAACTACTCCACTTACAATATCCTCAAAAAAATAAAATACTTTTGAGAATCAATCTAACAAAAGAGATGAAAGATCTTTACAATGAAAACTATAGAACCCTAAAGAGAAATAGAAGAAGACCTTAGAAGATGGAAAGATCTACCTTGCTCCTGGATAGGCAGAATTAATATTATTAAAATGACCATACTATCAAAAGCACTATACAGGTTCAATGAAATTCTGATCAAAATCTCAATGACATTCCTCATAGAAATAGAAAAAGCAATCATTAAATTCATCTGGAAAAATAAGAGACCCAGAATAGCTAAAGCAATTCTAAGCAGGAAGAGTGAAACAAGTGGTATTGCTAGCTATACCAGACCTTAATCTATACTACAGAGCAATAGTAACAAAAACAGCTTGGTACTGGCACCAAAACAGGCTGGTAGACCAATGGTACAGAATAGAGGACACAGAGACTAACCCACAGAATTATAACTACCTTATATTAGACAAAGATGCCAAAAGCATGCACTGGAGAAAGGATAGCATCTTCAACAAATGGTGCTGGGAAAATTGGAAATCCATATGCAACAAAATGAAACTGAATTCCTATCTCTCACCTTGCACAAAAGTTAACTCAAAATGGATCAAGGATATAGGATTTAAACCAGAGACTCTGTGTCTAATAGAAGAAAAAGTAGGCCCCAATCTCCATCACGTGAAGCTAGGTCCCAACTTCCTTAATAAGACGCCTATAGTACAAGAATTAAAACCAAGAATCAACAAATGGGATGGATTCAAACTAAAAAGTTTTTTTCTCAGTCAAGAGAAATAATATGTGAGGTGAATAGGGAGCTTACATCTTGGGAACAAATTTTTACCCCTCACACATCCGATAGAATGCTAATCTCTAGGGTATATAAAGAGCTGAACAAGATAAGCACCAAAAAACCCCAAACAATCCAATCAATAAATGGRCCAAGGACCTKMACAGACACTTCTCAGAAGAGGATATACAATCAATCAACAAATATACGAAAAAATGCTAATCATCTCTAGCAATCAGAGAAATGCAAATTAAAACTACTCTAAGATACCATCTCACTCCAGTAAGAATGGCAGCCATTAAGAAGACAAACAACAAGTGCTGGTGAGGATGCAGAGAAAAAGGTACACTCATACACTGCCGGTGGGACTGCAATTGGTGCAGCCAATTTGGAAATCAGTATGGAGATTCCTTGGAAAGCTGGGAATGAAACCACCACTTGACCCAGCTATTCCTCTTCTTGGACTATACCCAAACGAACTAAAAATAGCATACTACAAGGACATAGCCACATTAATGTTTATTGCAGCACAATTCATAATAGCTAAACTGTGGAGCCAAACTAGATGTCCTTCAATGAATGAATGGATTAAAAAAATGTGGCATTTATACACAATGGAATATTACTCAGCATTATAAAATAATAAGATCATGGCATTTGAAGGGAAATGGATGGCATTAGAGCAGATTATGCTAAGTGAAGTTAGCCAATCCCCCCACAAAAATGCCAAATGTCTTCTTTGATATAAGGGGGGGTGACTCAAAATGGGGTAGGGACGAAGAGTATGGGAAGAGGGGTGGGAGAGAAAGGGAGGGAGAAGGGGAATTGAATGAATGGTGGAAGGAGACATCATTGTTGTACAAAATATATGTATGCAGATGTGGAAAAAAAAGAAAAGAATTTCTTTTCTTTTCATGAAAAAGAAGACTCAAACTCAGAATGCATGTTTAGGCGTTATGTTCATAGACTTTTTTTTTCTTTCTTTTTTTTTTAGCACCTAATATATGTTTGTTTTTACATCATCAAAATTATTTCACCTCTATCCAAGAAATGCTATCATATAAATTAGGGAAAATTTTGGAAGCTAGAGAGGAAAAAGGAAAAGAAATGTGGGGGAATCTCAATAAAATCAATGGGAAATCAGTAGAATAGAGGAAAGGGATCAAAGGGAGGGATGACAGGAAGGAAAGGGGAAGTACTTCGAAATGATATTGGCCAAATTATATTGTTGAATTGTGTGCATGTATGAATATGTAATCACCAATCTCACCATTATGTATCATTATGTAATTATGTGCATTACACAATTACAATGCACCAATAAAATATGAAAAAAACATTAAAATGCTTTTATACAACAAAAGAAACAACAGAATGAAGAAACAACTTATGGAATTGAAGAAAATATTTGCAAACAATACATTTGAGAAGGAGTTAGTATCCAAAATATATAAGGAACTCAAACTACTAGATAAAAAGAAAACAGTTAAAAAATGGTCACAACTCATTTCACAAAAGAATACATACAAATAGCCAATTGGTTTATGGGAAAATATTCAACATCATTAGTCATCAGGAAAAGGAAAATCACAAGGACTGTGGAAGTAAAGGAACACTTGTACACTGTCCATAGAAATGTAATTAGTATAGACATTCTGGAAAACAGTATGGAGGCTCCTCAAAAAACTACATCTAGAATTACTATATGATACAGCAATCCCATTTCTGGGTATATACCCCAAAGTACTGAAATCAGTATGTTGAATAGACATCTACATTTCAATGTTCACTGCAGCATTACTTACAATAGCCAAGATATGGCACTAACCACTAATCAGTGGATAAATGGATAAATAAAATGTATATATACAAAATGGTATACTGTTCAGCCTTAAAAACRTTGAAATCTTGTCATCTGTGACAACATAGACGAACCTGGAGGACATTATGTCAAGAGATACAAGTCAGGCACAGAAAGACAAATAGTGCATAATCTCACTTATATTTGTAATATAAAAAAGATGAAGCAAAAGATAGAATGGTGGTTTCCAGAGGTAAGGAGGTGAGGTGGGAGGGAATGTCAGAGAACAACGTTCAGTTAGATATAGGAATAAGATTTCAAGGTCTCTTGCATAGTGATGACTACAGTTAATACTAATGTATTGCCTATTTCAATATAGCAAATAAAAAAATTTAAATGTTCTCACTCTAAAAAATAGTAGTGAGGTGATAGATGTGTTAATTAGCTGAAGTAATCATTTCATAATGCATATCAAAACATACATCCCACAAATATATACAATTATCATTTTTAAGTGAGAGCATTTAAATTGAAAACATAAAGGGGAGATTAGGAAAATTCTTCTTTTGAATAACTCTGCATTTTTATATAATAGATTTACTTTTTTTTTTAGTTTAMTAAAAGTAACAWTTGTTACAAAACATTGAGAAAATAATGATAACCAGAAAAAATTACTCATGGTCTTAACATTTTGGTGCATATTCTTTCAGGTTTTTTTCTTTGCATATATTTTACACACATAGTTTATATATCATTCTGCAATTTTTCCTTGTGACTTTTTTATTACATAGAAATATATATGGGGCTGGGGTTGTAGCTCAGTGGTGGAGCACTTGCCTAGCACATGTGAGATTCTGGGTTCGATCCTCAGGACCACATAAAAATAAATAACTAAATAAAATATTATTCTGTTATTATACCTAATTAAAATACATAAAAAATTTATTAAAAAATAAAGGTATAAAATAAAAGAAATATATCATGATGGAATTTCAGGCAACTCATTGCATAGATTTGCTTTTTAAAAACAAGGCACACATATGTTAAGGCCAACATTTTTTTATAAATAGAATCTAAATAATAGATGAATAAAATTTAAAGTTTAATATATACAACCTTGATTTTTTGATCTCATTATGTAATAGGACATCTCCTAAAATTGACCCATATTTTATATCAAATGCTCCGGAGTTCTCTAACTTTTCAAGCATTTGGTTAATGGTAGCAGTTTTCCCAACACCACATTCTCCTAAGAGGGAAAAAATATTTTAGGTTAGAATTACATGCCAGAAAATGACATATGTTAACATATTAAAAAGAACTAATAGTGTAACAGACCTGGTTTATTGGGGTCCCCAGAGTTAGACCTCTAGCCTAGGTGTCTGAGGAAACAATAGCATTTTCCTTCATCTGAAATTTACTTGAAAAGTATGTTTTTGCTTTTCCCTTTTTAAAATGTGATACTGACTAGGTAAGTGAGTTAATATGTATCCTTCTCAGAGTCTACATTATTTACATATTTTACAAAAGAATAGATAAGGAGCTAATGGGTTTTAAAAATTTGTTATTTTTATATATACATGACAGTAGAGTGCATTTTGACATACATACWTATAGTRCAACCCATTCCAATTAGGATCCCATTCTTGTAGTTGTACATAATGTGGAGTTACACTGGTCRTGTATTCATTTAAGAGCAAAGGAAAGTTATATCTGATTCATTCTACTGTCTATATATTTTTATCTAATGTTCATTAAGCCCATCACAAATTGTTTTGCCTATAGCACACTAGAAATACTACATGAAATGAAATTCCTTGAGAACATTTGCTAGGACAATCGGAGGGAGAAATTTGATGATAAATTCTTTATTGAGGCAGAACAGGGACTCATGACTTGATAATTCACTAAATAATAATTCCTTAGATGAAATTAAAGGCAAGCTATGGTTACCTGAGAGTCACCCTGCTGGAATTCTTTGAATATGGAACCGGGAAAATGATACTACTTGCCTCTGGTGATGGACCATATAAGTTAGAAAACTGGAAAAGGTGATTAAGTTGAAATAAATGTTCAGAAACAATGGAAACTATAGAGTGATTCCTTTGGTAAAAGTAAAAAAAGTGAAAAATTTAGCTTCCGGTTGAGGAATTACATGTGTAGATTTAATTAAACCAATCAATGTTACCATTAGTAGACCTCCAAGGACCTCAGCCCACAGGCTATGGAGACCAGTTATATATTTACCCTGTAGTTCTACTGCTAGAATTTTCCTGAAGGTAATGAAAAGATGAAAAAGATTCACAATGTCCTCTACTAGAAAATATGTAGGGAAATGGGCATTTTATACACTGTTAGTAAGGATGTRAATTGATATAGTCACCAAAACTTTTCAGGACCTATTTTTTCCCGTTTCACATGTTTGGACCAAGTAATATTTCCTCCTAACTCTAAAATACCCCTTCATTTACATTTTTWAAAAATACCTGTGAGAAGCACAGGGCAGGAATTCTTTAAGAGAAGGCTCATGAGAAAAGAAAGGCATGTTGTGTCTCGGGTAGCAACATAATTAATGTACTCTCCACATTCTATCATCTTCAATATGTTGTCACCAGATTCTTGAATGTCAGTCAGTAATGAAGTCCCTAAGTTAAAAAAAGAAAAGTTTCTAATGACTTAGAAATATTAAACTAACATTTTGGGTACTTAATACTTTCTGAAAAAAATTCAACATATTATAAAGAAATTTAACTATTTTAAAGATTGACATTTTTAAAAGTAAAAAATAGCCAAACATAGGCAATTTGATGTAAAATAAAACACACACACAAACATAAATCCAAAAAGAAACTTTCTTATAAGCCATTAAAAGATTTTTTTCTGATCAGTATCATTCCATTTAACAAATGTATCATGCAAATTTTTTCTTTTTTTTACTCAGTGCTCTAGTTATGGACATTTATGATGTTTTCAATCTTTTGCTATTACAAACAAGTCTGATACACATATGTTATTTCACATATATGTGGACTAATTTTTTTTATAAGTAGAGTTTTGGATCAATATAAACTGTCATATGATATATAATTTGATGGATATTGACAAATTGCTCTCCAATATTTGAGAGTCTATATCTTCATGCCTTCGTGAAAGGTATCAGACTTCTTGATCCTCACCAAAATTACAGGTAAAAATTATATCTAGTTGTAAATTAACTTGAATTTCTCATATATGAATCAACTCTTTATATGTAAGAAGTGTTTATTTTTCTATGAATTGTTAATTCATATTCTTTATACTTTTACTTATAGTTTATCATTTTAAGGTATTCTTGGGTTTCATAAATATTTTAATATCTGCAAATAATAAAATCTAACCATCTCCTTTTCAAATTTACATATCTAATTTTTTTCTCTTTTTTAACTGCATTGGTTAGCATCTTCAAAACAACATTAAGAGGTTGGCGCTGTAGTACAGTGACAGAGTACTTGCCTAGAATGTGTGAGGCATTGAGTTAGATCCTTAGCACCACATAAAAATAAACAAATAAAATAAAGACATTCTGTCCATCTACAGCTACAAAAAATTAAAAAAAATAAGTTGAAATGTTGGATTTTAATGAAAATGCTTCCTTTTCTCTTTAAGTAGGTTGTTTTTGTTGTCATTTTTCCTTCATAACTATTTTTAGTTGTTCTTTTTAGATATATATGATACTAGACTGTATTTAAACATGTTATACATACAGAGAGAACAATTTATTCTAATTAGTATCCCATTATTGCAGTTGTAGATGATGTGGARTTACACTGGTCGTATTTGGCTGCATTTTTCATCTCTAGAGGGTCTGTTTTATTCTTTTTCAAATTGTGCCACATTTTCATAGTTTCTGATTCTTTTCAGGTATTTTCAAGCTTATTTTTTATTTCTTTAAACATAGTAAGTATGGATGTCTCAGAATATATAGCCAGTAATTCTAGTCATTCAAGTCTTGTTAATTTATGSTGATAATCTTGATTCTGCTAATTACCTTTAACTGAGTATTAAATTTGAAAATATTGTTTGTATGAATAATATATGATTTAGGAAAATAGTCCTATTAGCTTTTTAGTGGATGCTAGAAAATAGTCACAGATAACCTTAGTTCAAGATTTGAGGTTCCTTAGGTCACTCAGGATAGGGTATCTGGCCATGTAAGGGCTCGCTTAAGGTAGTTCACCTTTCCACAGAGGGGAGAGCCCTTAATAGGTCAGATTAAATTATACATGTTTGTGTGAGAAAGAAAGAGTGGAGGGAAAGAAGCTTTGGTTTTTGTCCTCCTTGAACATTTAACAGTCAACCTGACTGATAAAAAAATGACTGTTTCAATCAAAATTATGTGTAGTTTGTTAAATAGATATTATATCCTCAATAAGCTGTATAAAGCATAATTTTCAGCACTGTTAATTAATCTTAGTTACTACACAATTCATATTTGAACTCCTCAAAGATTAGTGGAAATTGAAGTAAAATATATAACTCAATCCACATGCAAAATGTTTTCTTTCAATAACTATTCCACCATGATAGTAGGAAAAGGAATTCTGCATCATGATTTATCACATCTGTGCTCAATGATAACCCCATAGAGTTTTAAGTCCAGGAGAAAGCACTTCATGTAGTTGTTGTGGATTTCTCCTTCAGTCAGCTTTCTATGCAATAATACCAAAAGGTGATTTTTTTTCCTTAAGCATGTCTAAGATGCCCAATCTACATATTGTGGTTTACTACAGGGGAAACATGGTATTGTGACATTAAAATTATCATTAYAAGTTTGGTTTAAAAGCTCAGGAGGGTTTTAATTGCTTCTATGTCCTTTGCATACAAGTAGGGTAAGTTGTCTCCAGAGAAGTGAATGTTTTAGATTTGGAGAAGGTGTTGAATTATAGGCAAATGATATTCAGTTATATTTCTATCTAGTGGAAAAAAGCTAAAGATAAAAATGCCCCCAATATTAGCACTAACATGAAATAGAATCTGTGATCTCTCACCAATGCTTATTGTGACAAAACAATGTACAATATAACTTTGGTATTTCCAACAAAAATAAATTTGAAATTAGAACTTTCTGGATGCCTACGATTCTGACAGCTCTGGTTGGTTTCTGTCAAAAACTCTTGCAACCAAACTTTGAAATTATTTGATGAGAGAAACCTGACTTCAGTTATTCATTTCAATTTCCATTCATTAAACTTCTTATACTGATTCTCCTCCTTGATGATGTGATTATATCCAAATAAGCCCAAGGTAAATTGAAAATGTTGTTAAGTCAAAAGCATTTGATACACCTAACCTACTTAACAGCATAGTTTAGTAACAGTACACTGTAGAGTATTGGTTGTTTCCTCTTATATTCCTATGACTACTGCCACTGCCCAACATTGCAAAAGAGTATGATACTGCCTATTGCTAGTCTGAGAAGTGATCCAAATTTCAAATTCCAGTATTGCTAGTCTGAGAAATGATCCAAATTTCAAATTCCAGATTTGAAGTATGGTTTTTACTGATTATGTGTTGYTTTCACACTACCATAAAGTTGAAAACTTGCAAGTTGAGGACCATCTGTATTTGTAAGAACTTGACAAGAAGCCTGACCATTAAGTTCCTGCCTTAAACTTCTTCCAAGCTCTTAAAGTGCAACAAGYTTCTATGCCTTTTTTTTGTTTTATGTAGAAGCAGAAGATTGAGAATAAAAATAATTTAGCAAATATGGATGTTCACCAAACGATGGTATTTTTTTCTAATGAGTAGTTTCCTATATAATCAAGTGTAAGTTCTTACATACATACTTTTCCTATTTTAGATGTGAACCTTACCATTTTCTCCTTTCAATAATCATAGCTAATTGAAATAATAAATATTGTGATTAATAAGACTTTCAATGAACTCAGTTTTACAATGTGAAAATGACTCAAAATACTCCAGATTTCTCATAAAGTAGTATTCAAAAGTTATTTTTAAGGCACATTTTGTAAATGTGGATCCAAACTGGTCTCTACACAAATTTGGAATGTATTAATAATTAAATTTGCTGATATATAACTAATTTTACAAATACAGTATCCTCAGCATTTTGAAGAAATTACAAAAAATTACAAATTACAAGAAATTTGTATAATTACCCTTACCTCTTTGAATTAATGTCTGAATATTAGGAACTAAATCTGACCAAGGTATGAATTCACATTGTAGTATGTCCACAAAATACCCAAAGATAGACCGTTCACCAGTTGGTAGACTGATACCTACATTTGAGATTGATAAACAGATCCACATAAGAAAGAGATTTAATTAAGAATATGAACTCTAACTGAAATATATGATTATTAAGAAAGGTATGTCCAAATATATTAAATAAGTCTGTCTTTTTCATAATATTTAATTGTATAAAAGCAAAAACTGATTAACTTTTTGTCCTTTTTATAATCCAGAAATTAAGGTGAATTTTGATCTGATAGCCTTGAAACCTTACCCTAAAGTTCTGTTTCTTATTATGTAAACACACATGATGTTTTTAAATGATAGAAATGTACTGGTTGTGGCTAAACCAATATATAAGAGAATATTGATACTTATTTGTAAATCACATGTATTTTTCCATTTTAAAAGTAATATATTTTCTCAGTAGAAAATTGTTGAAGATATTGAATAATGAAAAGCAAAATAATTAAGCCATTATTTTACCAAAGATAACAATGTTAATATTTAAAATGATAAATGTATATGTAAAACAATGTTAACACATACACCTTATAATTATTATTTTTGCCTGTTTCAATCTTTCAATTTCTTATAGAGACAAATTAAAAATCTCTTATAATTTTAGAATTATTTATTACCTGTTAGAATTCTATCAGATTTTGCTATTAAAAGACTATATTGTTATATTTCTACAAGTTCATGGTCGTTTTATGTTTTGTGGGTTTTTTGTTTGTTTGTTTGTTTGTTTTGGTACTGGGGATTGAACTTGGCCACWGAGCCACATCCCCAGCCCTATTTTTTATTTTATTTTAGAGACAGGGTCACACTGAGTTACTTAGTGCCTCACGCTATGCCTTTGCTGAGGCTGGCTTTGAACTCATGATCCTTCTGCCTCAATCTCCCAAGCCTCTGGGATTACACCTTGGCCAGCTAGGGTTGTTGTTTTTTAATGTAGTGTTTTTCTTGAATCCTCTTTAATCTTTTGGCATAAATTTTACTTTATCATATAGTATTGCTATTCTTTTTTTGTATTTGCATCACATATAATTATTAATTACTTTCTGTGTGCTTCAAATCAATATGCTATTTTATACATTCTTCTAACAAATTAAAAGTTGATTTTTAATCCTATTTTCAAAGACAACAAATACCTAGTACACTTTAACAACTCATCGAAAATTCCTTTATTTTGTGTATAGCTTTTACATTTTTAATAAAACATTTCTAGTTTATGATCTTCCTGACAATAAATTAAGGTAGTTTATCTATCTTTAAAAGTTAGCAGGTGCTGAGATTGTGGCTCAGTGGTAAAGCACTTGTCTAGCAAGTGTGAGGCCTTGGGTTTGATCCTCAGCACCAAATAGAAGTAAATAAATAAAATGAAGGTATTGCGTCCAAATACTTCTAAAGAATAAATTTTTTAAAAAAAGAGGCATAAAATTGAATAGTTAACTTCAATAACAAATTAACATGCAATGCTTTGAAATTAAAAGTTAATTTCTATGGGAAATTACATAAAACTTGTCATCCAGATGTATATATATATATATATATATATATATATATATATATATATATATATATATATATATGCTAGGATTGAACACAGGTCCTAGCAAAAACTACGCACGCGGTCTCTTATTGAGCTATACCTCTGCTCCCATCCAGATGTCTTAAATGGAACTGTTTACAGTAATTCAGAAGACTGAATTAAGAATTAAGACTGCATTTATTGAGCACTTAACTATGTATCAGGCAGGCTCTATTCTACGTACCTAGCACATCACATTATTATTTCATTTTATAACTGAGATAATCAAAGATTAAAAATATTTAGTAGCCAAATATATTKGGGATATGGTTCAGTTGGTAGAGTCCTTGCCTTGAATGCACAGGTCCTAGGTTCAATCCCCAGCACCACAAAAAAAATATCCCATCTTTGTTTTACAAGGTTTTTCTAAATACATTCATATTTTGTCTCTTTTTGGTACCTGCATTAACAATCTCTTTATCTATTCAAAGTTTCTTTAATCAGCAACAGCTAAATGGGAAGGGTTAGTATTTTAGGTTACTAGGATAGATTCCACCTGTTAGAACTGACCTATAAAGCACAAGACTTTATAAAATAACTCAGAATTAAAATAAAAATATAAGACTAAATATTCTGCTCCTGCAGAAGTTCCTGCTACATGGTGGTGTGGATAGTATGGATCCTTACACAGCTGATGGGCTAGGGCTGAGTTCATAGTTCTAAGGCTTTCCCTTTTGCTTCACTAGTGTTCTAGCTTCTCATTGCATCTGGAACCAATCAAGAATCTAATTTTCTTTAATCTCCTTTCATTAGCATAAAGGTGTTATTTCTTAATACTATTTTACCTTTAATCTTCACACTTCAAAAGATGGGCCTAGTCAATATAAGTACAATCATTGCTTCTAATTAATATTTTAAAATAAGCAAAATAGAGCTGGGCTGTGGCTCAGTGGTAGGGTGCTTGCCTGGCATGTGTGAGGTACTGGCTTTGATTCTCAGCACCACATATAAATAAATTAATAAATAAAGTAAAGGTCCATCAACAATTTAAAAACTATTTTAAAATAATAAGCAAAATAATGATTCCTCYCAGCCAGAACTTACCTCCTTGTGAATTGTCTTCAAATAATTCACGTAYAAGTTTGTCAAAATTATAGGTTACTTCCGAAACAGAATCAGGCTCAAAAGCTGGATAATATAGTGTATCATCTTCATGTTCATCTTCATGCTTTAAACTTCCTCCAAATGCCCAAGTAAAAGCGAACACATAAAGCTTTTGAATCATTATTGTTAATTTATCAGGGTTTTTCTCCAGATACCATAGATTTTCATTGCTGGGTAGAAATGAAAGGAAGGGTGAAGGTTTAGTTTTAGAAAGCAGCTCATAAATTTCTTTCAATATATAAAAGTTTCATTTTTATTAAAAACTATAATATAGTTCAAGTGTTGACAGAAAAGTTTTAAAATTAATGTATAACTGTTCCTTTGATAAGTCATGTAAATTAGTTACTATTTTTAAAGTCCCATATGTGTAAGAGATCTGTAGTCAACCTTTATTTAATATATTCCTTTATATATTTTAAAATTTAATTTATTCAAACGTATCATTTTTATATTTTAAAAAGTATGTTTAACATACATTTTAATTTAATACATATATACATGTGTAGTTAATTTATGTACATATTTTAATTTAATGTATACACACATTTCATTTTYATTTTAGGCTAATTAAGTAGCTGCAAGTTTACTTGTCTTTTGAGAGAAAATATGATAATTCTTCACTTTATGTAGATATAAGCAAATAGTATTCACTCTATATTCTTCTCAGCCAAATCCTAGAGGTTGATTTAGTTTAATGTGGCTAATCCTGGGCAGGGTGAATCTGGTGAGTATTTTCTAGTCTAGGTCAACTCAAGTCACTCCTGGTTCGTGAAATTCAAGTCCTACTGTGATAAGGCTGGTGTTGATCAGGCTGGACAGAGATTTAAGCATGATCTCAACACATTTTGTATATCACCAAACTGAAGTTTATTAGCAACCTTTAATGTACAAGCATTTACACAATCTTGTCTGAAATTTCTAGCCCTGTGTAATATGTGATAGTTCTTTTGGCAAATATTATTGAGTGGCTATAACATATCAGTTACTYTTAACAAAATCAGAATCCCCTTTTCACAGGAAAGGAAAATTAATACTAAACCATGATAAGAATAAAGAATAAAGAGTCAAGCATATCATGAAGAATAATAGCAAGGATAACTAATTTAGATTGCAGAAGTAAGGGAAGGTCTTTTTGAAGCACCAGTTAAATTGATACCTGAAGRATGATTGGGCTTTGGCAAAACATAGAAGTATAGAATTTTGAGCAGAAGGRACACATGTGCCAAGACCCTGAAATCAAAAGATCATTGCTAGTTTGAGGAAGTGGAGGGAAACAAAAGCCAGTGTCACTGAAGCACAGTTAGAGGAAAGATTAGGTCATGACTCTGGAGAGATGGACAGGGACTTTTTAAACTAGCCAAGATATTTTTCTTCTACTCTGAGAGTAATGGGAAGTTATTAAGTTTATATTTTATAAATATTCTTTTATGGCTACTCAACTATTTCAAAAWTTTTWAAAAATCTCCAATTGTGTTGAGAAATGACTAGAAGAATTGGGAAAACCAATTGGGAGTCTATTGCAACAGTATAGGAAAGAAATGATGGAAATTTGGGCTCAGATGTCATAATCAAGACGGAGATAAGTGAATAGATGTGAAGGCAGAGCTGACAGTGGAAAGTCTATTTTTTAAAATTTATTTTTTAGTTTTTCATGGACACAACATCTTTATTTTATTTTTATGTGGTGCTGAGGATCGAACCCAGCGCCCCGTGCATGCCAGGCGAGCGTGCTATCCTTTGAGCCACATCCCCAGCCCTGGAAAGTCTATTTAGAATGTCTTCTTTTTCAAAAGTGAATGTGACATGAATGGTCTCAGAGACTCATAATGAGATGTAGGAAGGCCCCAATAGTAATGCTCATATCATAAAAAAATAGCAGAAGAAATGTTACACTAATCAATATTCAAAGATATCATTTAYTGAGCACTTAACTATGTACCAGGCAGGCTCTATTCTACGTACCTAGCACATCACATTATTATTTCATTTTATAACTGAGATAATCAAAGATTAAAAATATTTAGYAACCAAATATATTTCATAGCTCATAAATGACAGATTCATAAATTAAATTCATGTCATTTTATTCATTTTTCCAATATGTACAGAGACTGGACAGAAGTATCCATATAATCTTATTTTTAAAAAATTAGTATAAAAATATGGTGATTTGTGGACTTGAAGTGGATTTTGATATTATAAAATCACAAAAGTACTGGTGTGTTGACAAGTAATCCTGTATGTATTTGAGTATTTGGTTCCTACTAGATTTGTCGAATGAATGTAGCTGACCTCTTTTCTGGTTCCTTCAATTTGGTAGAATCTTTTGTCTCCTTAGTTGAAGTGTTATTCGGATCACCTTAAGAAGGAAAGAGTATTTTTGTGCAATTAATAACAAACCTAAAATTTAGCTAGTTAATTCATGAGGTTTAATTTATAACACTATTTAGTGGACTGTCAGTAAGAGAATATCTTTTCACATACATCATTGTAGGCAGATTGTAGCTGTCTCCTCCCATCCCTACAAATTACCCATTCCATAGAGGAACTCAGTTTAAATGATTATTCATTAGTCTTTTAAGCTTATTTTTTCTTTTTAATATTTATTTTTTAATAATAAAGTAAAATATATTTCTCATGGGACATTGAGAAAATAGATAAAAGTATAAAGAAGAAAATAATGCTACCCATAATGCTATTACCCACCATTTTAGAACCATTAAAGTGTTAGTACCTTTCGTTAAATGGGATGGATTCRAACTAAAAAGTTTTTTCTCAGCAAAAGAAATAATATGTGAGGTGAATAGGGAGCCTACATCCTGGGAACAAATTTTTACCCCTCACACATCAGATAGAGCTCTAATCTCTAGGGTATACAAATAACTCAAAAAGCTAAACAAACAAACAAAATAAATAAATAACCCAATCAACAAATG